GGAGAGCAGACGGATCGAAAACATCGCTTTAACGGCAGACGCTTTACGATGCCGAGGAAATGCTGTGGAGGAATTTGCCTCTTTAAGACCAACTGCCGACTGGTGTGCTTCGTGTGTGTGTGTGTGTGTGTGTGAGAATGAGGAAGACAGCAGTTAAGAAACTCTAATTGTAAGTGAGAAACTTGGTCTGCTTTAATGTTTGGTTCATGTTAAGTTTTAATCACCTTTCAGGCTCCATTCGGAGGAACACTAAGACGTGAAGTACACATTCCATAAAGGATCTTCTCATTAGAGCGTCTCTGCAGCTATTCGTCATGACTACGAGATGGGACACGACCACCCTTTAGGCTCTTTGCAGTGACGTGTGTGACGTGGCATGTTGACAGGTGTTTTCTGATGTGTTTTACACACTTTGCAGCTAAAGGTCATAACTCTGCTACAACTCCCTCAGATCTCCTTTCTTTTTTAGCTGTGGTGTAAATATGTGATTATAACTGCGTTAGGACAACCTCTCTTTAACCCAACAAACGTCCTCTCTTCTTTGTCCAAGGGCCTCTTGTGATGAGACTTGTTCCTCTATTTGTCCTCACTGTAAATCCGGATGCACTCGGGACGAGTGTCGGCTGTAGATGCCGCAAACAGACGCTGAAGCGTAGATGCCAATGCTCTCTTTTTGTCACTCTCTCCTTTCCTTCTTCCCAATAATCTCTCCTCCTCCTCCCTCCCTCCCTCCCTGCTCTTAATCCGTTCCACAGCCGTGAAAACTCCCCATGAGGGAGAGATGACCCGTTCTAATGAGTGGAGGCAACCACCCACACTCACAGACACGGAGGGTCCACACACACACACACACACACACACACGGCAGACCTCGCTAAGCTCGTTTGGCTTAGTCTAGAATAGACGCACTGGGCCGGGAACACGCTACATGATTCAAACCTGCATCATGATCCATTTTAAGGTTGTGGGGAATCGGGCCCTGCTTTGTCGGCATGGACCCGTCTGCTGCTGAACCAGTTAGTCGGTTAATTGATTAGTGAGCTGATGGATCAGTTGTTAAGTTCTCTGGTTCCAGCTTCTGATTCACATTTTAGACCTTGAATTTGAGCGAAAACATGCAGTTTAAATATTGGAATTAGTTTTTCACATGTTAACGATGGGAAATTATTGACTGATTCGACTGTAAATAGAATAGTTGTTGCAACTTTAGCGTGCAACTGTGTAAATTGTCTTTATTCCCATCTGACAATGTGGCACGGGACAAGGTTTTTTAAATGTTGTTAATAGAAGGAAACATCTAGATGTCTCATATATAAGATTTCTGAGCGCCACAGACTATCGAAGCCACAAAGAGTAAACAAAGAGCAGCAGATCCGCACACAGCAGCTGTTTGGGGGCGCTGAGTGTGTGCAGGTGTTGAGCCCTCAGTGGGATCGTTCAGCCTTTTTCCTGCTGGTTTCTGTACACTTGTTTATTAGAAAGGACAATGCGGCCGGTTTAGAATGTTGATTTCAGACTGCATGTGTTTTACATCCATATATATTTACATTATGAATGCTTCGAGTTAAAAAGGTTTCCAAAAATGTTTAATTTGCAGAGAACAAAGCTTGTGCCACTTTTTCAGCATCTGCCTTTTTTGCTCAGGCCAAACCTAAAATGATGCAAAATTTAAAAAGGAAATGTGACCAAATGTTCAATGTGATAAATTACTCGTCATCAGCAAATTTCCAGGTCCCTGTAAAAAGATTTTCAAACCGCCATCTAAATGTAAAATAAAGATTCCACGTTTAAAACAACCATTGGAAGAGCTTATAAGGGCCACATGTTGTTATCGGCTCCAGTCAAGTGAGGCAGCTAAAGTTTGTCCTTAAACAAAAGAAAAGCTTTTTTTCAAAATTTGAATACATTCGTTGCAGAGCTGTTAGAAGGATGTACAGGTCGGCCTGAGCGGGACAACAAACCTACGTTTAGATGCGTCTTTAATTGCCTATAAATCAGGCAATTCTTAAATAAAGACAAATAATGGGCTGTTTTCATATTAATAAGTCTTGGTGCTTCACGACCGAGTATGAATGACAAAATACCCAACAATTTGTTTTTGTTGGACAAATATGACGTCTTAACACACACTCAGCGACTACCACACACACACTCACACACACGCACACACACACACACACACATACGATACCGCAGCCAAAAGCCAAGCGAGCCGCATTGGCGTGCTACAGTATCACTGTGGAAGAGCTCCTCTGGTTCTGCTTCAACAGATGGCCTGACGGGTCCCTGGGCAGGCGGGAGGGGAGTGTTGGAGGATGGGGGAGTTAAAGGGAGACGGAGGGCGGTTGCGGGGGCTTCGCACCCCCCTCAGGAGGACTGGTGGGGGTATTGCGTGGGTGAGGGAGGGAGGGAGAAGACATATGTCCACAGTCCTGGCCCCTGCTGACGGACTGTCTCTGCTGGCTGCCTGGCTCGCTGTCTGTCTTAGACGCACGCGCGCGCTCACAATAAGTTGTTTTTAAATATATAAATGTAACACACACAAATTTACTCCACTGAGCCTGGCAGATGTCTGCAACACAGCTCCTCTCCATCTGCACCTCAAAGACCCATGCGCCCCGACAATGAGGTGACCATGTCTCTGCCCGAGCCCAAGCAGAGGGAGACAGAGAGAGGGGAGAGACGGGAGAGATGGGAGGGAGGGGATGAGGGAGGGACACATTAACAAGCTATAATCTCAACTGCCTTATCCATAATGCATTGTGTGGGCCAATTTACATGGAGCTGGTCCCTCTGGGAGAAAGGAGATCATCCATCACATTAGTTTATTAGCTCCCTCACACTCGTTTACAGACGCACACAGGAGCACTTGCTCACAGTCGCACACGCACACACACACACACACACACACACACAGACACACACCATTATTTGTCCCTGTCCCTCTCTCTGTCTCCCTCTGTTTTGTTGGCCTGTTTTGTCCTGGTCGTCGCTTCAAACTGCTGCTGTAGAAAACGACTCCACACCGCGTCGTGTTGTGCAGACTGTGACAAGCAGGCAGGGTTTTTTGTTTAAGTAAAGCAAAATATACATACATATATATATATATATATATATATATATATATATATATATATATATATATATATATATATATATATATATATGTATGTAAATCTATGCAGAGCTGACGCTTTGTTTTCTTTCTGCGTGTATGTGATTAAATCTCAATGTGATTCTGCAAAGAATCATTAATCCCTAAATCACACAAAAAATAGTCACTTTTAAGGGTTCCTTTGAGGAGATTTAGGGAGAATGCAAACATGGTTACACAACAGCCTGTTTAGGGTTTTTCCCATAAGTATTGGTCAACTTTTCTTCACAATTGGCTCACAGTTCAGACTCAAGATGTGTTGGAATTTGGCAATTTCAGGCCAGTAATATCAGTAATAATATATGCAAAATGTTTTCTTTTTTCTGTCCAAATGATTATGTATGTAAAAAACAATTCTGGAAAGCGGCGTCGCTTTGGAGATCATGACTGCAAATATCAAAGCATCAAATGATTATCTGCATTATCAAAATTGTGTTTTTAATGCAGATTTCAGCTAAATTTGAACTTTTAAAAGATTTGTTAATATCATTTCCTGAATAATTTAGATGTATCCAAAATATAGAAATCTGGGATTTCATTCTTTTTCATTTATGAAATATACATTTTAATTATATTCTGAATATGTCTTATTTTTCCGATGTGGTTAATTGCCTAAGCACAGATGTATCTACATGTTGTTATTGTGGCTTTATTGTTTTGTTGTTGTAAAATGTCTGAATAACAAACTAACATTTACGTTAAAGGAGAAATAATTCGAAAGGCAGTCCAGATGATCAGGGAGCCTTCATACACAATACAACTAAAACACCGAGTTCAGTTTCCATTGCATGTGCGTGAGACAAAAAGGATGTCTCCTCTTCCGTGCATGTGTCAGTGAAACTAATTGCACACACACACACACACACACACACACACACACGCACACACACACACACACACACACACACACACACACACACGCACGCACGTGCAGCAGGATCCATCTGACTCGCGGTCACCCGGTGAACAAAACGAGCTGTAATTGCAATCATATATGTGGAGCTTCAGCACGAGGCGCCATACCTTACCATTAGTATCACAAATAAGTAATAATTTGCTAATGACAACATTATGTTGAGTCAGTTTAGTGGCAATTAAAGTGAGTGATATTTACATATGGCCAATGAATCACCGCGCGAGGCCGTTCGGACGCTCCCTAATGAATATTCATCCCGGCATTTCTCCCCCCGCGCGCCGCAGTTTATGAACTGAATTATGGCTGATTTGCCCTTTTTAAAAAATGAACATGGGCGCATCTCCCGCAAGGAGGCGGCGAACAATAACGCCTGATTATAAAAATGTTTTACTCCTGAACCGCCGGCGAGGAGGCGGCGGGAGCGTGGTTGCCCCCCCACCCCACCCCCCCAAATCAATCCGGCCTCCCTGCCTTTTTTTTTTTTTTTTGAATGACATAAATATTGACAATGTGCATTCAGCACATGTCGATGACGTGGAGGTCACGGTTCACACCGACCTCCAGGATCTCCATAAGGTGAGCGGCCCGGTCTGCGGGAGCGTGCACGGCCGCCGGTGACGTGCCCGGTAATTGCCCCCCCCCTCCCCGCAGCGGGTGAGTTTGGGTGGCTGCTGACCTCTCAGGTGCGGGATCAACAGGCGACATCAGTTTGCATTCACGGGGCGCTGAACAAGATGCTGCGTCGCACGTTCATCATGCAAATGAGCGGGTTCTCTGGCAGGTGTCAGCACACGCACTCCACACGCACGCGCCCGCGCGCGCGTATGGGCAGGGGCTCGTTGTGCAGAATGACAGGACGCGCGAGGCCTCACGATCACTGAGGTCAAACAGATATCCAAAGGAGGAAATAGAGAAAACTAATTACAAAAATAATTTGTGATCACAGTTTAAATCATTTTTAGCTCATATTGTAAACGTTAGATTATTACAATACATCACAAGGCATGCTTTAACCTTGAGATCAGTGAACATATGATGTTGAATTCCGCAGTGATAAGTAAGTAAATAATGTGTTTCTGTTCAATAGTGATGACATTTTTGATTTCAAATAAATATCACGCCATAATTTATCAAGCATTACAGCCTAGGTCTGTGCTAAAAAACAATATTCCCCACAGGCTTTTAAAGTGCTGAGACACGTCATGACACATTAGTAACATTTCAGGTTTGCTAGATTCTTTAAGAAAACAAAGAAGACCGAAAAACGTGTTTCCTCCTGCCATCAGCAAGCTTCGTCCGCCTCTCTTCCTCTTTGACTCAAATGTATCTGCTGCCATCTGGTGGTTGAATCCTGGAACCAAACATGTGTTCCACATTTAAGATGATTCATCGATTCCACAGAGGTCAGAGGTCAGTTGTAGGAATGCCAGAGCAGAGTTTGGTGAAATCGATGCTGCACACAGGTCAAAATAGCTCAATGTCCTCCCTCGAATCAGGACATACTGCCCTACAAGAAAGAATATTACAAAAAAAGAACATGAAAAGCTGAAAAAACAGGCAGACAGCTTTACATCCAGTGGGAATCAGAGCGTTAGTGGGACGCACTTCGTGGTGGACATTTTCTGGTCCTTGCGTAGAGAGGGAAAACAAAAGGCTCATCTGGAGAGGGCTGGCCGGCTCCCTCGGAAGGTCTCAAATTAACTCATATATTTTGTTTCAACATTCCGATAAACACCTGCGCAAAGTATTTAGGTGCGCTTGGGAAAATGACGGTTGAATCTTTAAGATGTTCTGCTCGCGTTTGCAGGTGCTGAACTCTGGGTCGTCTTCCTCCCGCACTCCTCTGCTCCTCAGTACACAAAGCTGACGTATATGACGTCCGTCTCCGGTAACTTTGCCAGGTGGAGATCAGGGAAGGGCAGCGCGCCGTCACCGTCTATGTGCGTCTGCACGGTGTAGGCCTTGACCTCTGCCCCCCACTCCAGCGCAGAGCTGTGGATGATTCCCACTCTGGCCTGCTCGTCGTACGCCGCTCCCAGCTCCCTGCCCAGGAAGATGTCTTGGCACTGGAGCGAGGACAGAGTCGTGGAATCTTTCTTCGCTGTCAAGTCCGGGTTTGCGCCTTTGTCCTTTTTGTATTTACCCGTGTCCGGGTGAACGCCGTTGTCTCTGTCGCCGTCGCCGTTCGCGTGCGCGTCCCAGGCTCTGTTTGCGTCCGCACAGTGGGGAACCGGCGCCTTGTCCACGTCCACCACTGTCAGCCTCTCCAGGTGCCTCACGGCGAAATGCCCCTCCGGGGAAGGGGAGGGCGTCCCCGGGCCTCCGGCGCCGCAGCGGATCAGGGTGAGGTGCGTGACCTCGGAGTTGTTGAGCAGACGCGCCGCGTTTATCGCCGACGTGAACCACACGGTCAAGCGTCTCATCCCGAAGACGGGAGACGGGTGGGACTGCGGGTGGTGCACGTCTTGGCACCGGCAGTCGGCGAGCGAGGAGACGCTGCAGGGCTGCGGGTCCTGGCTGCAGGAGTAGTAGAAGAGGCCGTTGTGGGTCACGTAGGCCAGCCGCGGGTCGGAGCGCTGCAGAGCCACCGACACGTAGAGGAGCAGCACGCAGAGGAAGGGGGCGGGGGGGCCGACGGCGGCCATCACTGCAGGGGGAGGGCTCCTGGCAGCATTTTGAAAGATTTTTGAAAGCCTGTGGGAAAGAAAACATTAAGTATCGTGTGGTGAACGTGGCGTTCCTCTTTAAATTAAGGATCCGTCGCTGTTTGTTGCAGTGATTTCCTGTATTTAATTGAACGGATAACACGTTTGTCCGCCTCAATGTCGCAACAGCCTCTGGCTAACCTCAGAGAGATGCCGGGAAACTTTTTTTCGCAGTGCTCGGGCCACGTGGACGAAGCCAGACGTCTCTCGGCCCGGATCAACTTTCACACAGGAGATTCTTGTTATTGGATACTGTGATACGTGCTGAGGTCGAACCCCCGTGTGTCTCTAACCCATTAAGTGTTGTTTTAACATGACGGGAAGAAAAAGGGGATGTGGACATTCTGACCGCCGGTTTGGATCAGGAATTTGTCACACGCACACACACGTGGGCGTGTTCTTCCTGCACTTCAGTTAGGGGGACATTCTTTGGCACTGGGAACCTACATTGAATTTCACATAACACACAGTTAAAAATTATTACTATGGAGGTTTCTTCAAGATTCCAGGGACAACATTGTTTTGAAATCTTGGCCTTTGCAAAAGTCTGTGTAGATTTTCTGGTTAGGCAATAATGTAATGTGACCGTCTGCATTTATTTTGAATGCAGCTAGTTGACCGCTACGTTCTTCCTTTGGCATTATGTGACAAAGTAAACAGATGTGAATTCATCTAGCCTGATGTCCTCAACATTTTCTAATTTAGCCACTCCACAAATTCCACGAGGACACCAGATCATCAATTGATGTCACTGACAATTGTCTGTGAGGCAAAATGCCATAGAAGAGTATTGGTACAACAGTTATTAAACCATGACACGTTTCTGCAGTAACATCGGCACTGTAGTTTACACCATCCTGCCCCATAAATACTCACTAGATTACCTAATACCCCAAAAGATTCAATATGTATTGTTGTTTGAGGAATGTTTTCCCCCATTTTTAAAGATCTTCTCGAGAAATCAATAGACTTCCGTCTATGCGGTCGCAAAAGTATAGAATGTTGTGATTGGATAAAGAAAAAAGCTATGGACAAACTGTGTATTTTGAGGTGAAGAGAAAGAAAAGTTACAGCTACCAGCCAAGAGTCAGTCCAGCACCTCAGACCCAGTAAAGCTAAGCTACGCTAACTGGCTACTGCCTGTGGATTGGACAGATATGAAAGTGGTATTAATATTCACAACATCTCGGTAAAAAAGACAATGAGCATATTTTCCCAAATGTCTGGCTTTTCCTATAAAAAGTGGTTTAACCTCAAACATACTGGGGATTACTGTTTAATGGTTTTCTTCAAATAGTTTGTGTTAAGATCAACATATGATATTTACACACGACAACTTCATTCAAAATGTGTCCACTCTTTTTTTTTCTTCATAAAGTTGAATCTAACGACGAGGGGAAATGAAGGTTTGCTGTTGTGCCAACTAACGCTGAAGGAAAAAGGCAGTCGGGAAGATGAGGAAGATGACGTTGAACAGCCTTAAAGACACAGCCAGTGACATGTTCCCAGTATTCAGGGGGAGGGGGGGCGCATGAAGATGGTGATTCAGAGGGCCGGCCTTTGCTTTTCCCGCAGGAACAAAAATTGTTAACTCCACACTTTTGTCCCGAGTGCATTCTTTCTGCGTCCTGGCTGACTTTCCACGCACCAGAATAAGAATGAACCACAGCGCCTGACCACATATCTGGCTTAGGAATCCAAGACCTGGAACGGAGTGGTCTTAAAAGCCAGACATCGCGCTTAAGAAGCGGATTTGTGGGTCAGGGGTGAAGTCAGCCCTGTTAAAAACGCCCTCTGTCTTCTTCATTCTCAGTACATAACAAACCAGAAGTTTACAGGATGAAAAACCGCATCCCAGAGTCATTGTAAGGACTGCGTTGATTATCTGGGACACATTTTTCAAACTTTCCATCCCACCAGATAAGAGAGAATGTTTCTATTACATAACATTTCCATAGGAATGCAATGTAACATGAGAACATATTAAAAGCAAGGCTGGGCTATCGCTTTTAGCGGGCCGGCGACAGGACACAAACATACTATTAAACAGCTGTTAAAGAAGCCTAAACTATATGCCCATCAATACGAATCAAGCATGGTTTAGTTTCCCAGTTTTCTGGTGTGTAACTTACCCCGAGTTTCTGCTGTGGCGCTGATCCGTGAATGAGTCACTTTAAGGCTGGGATGGGGAATAAAAATCCCACATCCAGCTGACGTCAGGAAGAATCCCACAGAGGAAGCTGTAACTCACTTCAAGTGCAGGCTGAGTTCAGCCTCAAGTACTGCAAGGAAATGTTCCGATCAGAACAGACTTCAAGCATAGATCAATTAGGCTGTGGTTAATGTATACTAATATACAAATAACATTTAGTAGTTAAAGGTATGATCAGTTTCACAACTCAAAAAGTAGGCATGGTATTTGTTTTTAATTGTATTTAACAATCAAATCAAATTCAGTAGGCATCTGGAAAAATACGATTTTTCCCGCTAGATGATTGATCCATTAGTATACGTAGCACAGCTTATTTATTGGCTCCCATCAAGAACAAACGCTTTCCCAACGGGCAATATGGAGGAAAAAATACTTCTTGGAAAAAGAAGGTAATTTCCAGGCAACGTGACATGGACTGATGATGCGTTCATGTGCTATCGGATATAGTACAACTCTAACTTGAAAAACGATCTGTTTCAGTCTAAACTGTTTGCCCCAATTAATGGCTAAACGGTGTGGTATGCTATTTCTTGTTTTTTGTCGTTGTTACTGTTTTCATTATAGTACTTGCTTTGTAGCCTATGTCAAGTATGATACCGGTGAATTTTATTCCCCTTCAGAAGTAGTTCGTTTTACTATCTTAGATTGTGTTTCACACGAAAAAAAGAACAAATATCTCATGCATTTCTCTCTTTAATTTGTGTTGTTGCATAATCCTCACGCCTCTTTATCTATTAAATCAACCCACAGCCAAACGTGTCATATTTGGTAGGAGGAAGTTTATATTTCCGAGGTCTGGGAAAGGCCGCAGGAGGAAAGGAAGGAAGGAAGGAGGGGGGGGGCGTCGTATCCGCTCTAGGGACGCCAGAGTCGGGCTTTGGTGAGCGTGGGCGTCGTCCGGTCGTTGTTGTTTCTCTGGAGCTTCCCAATGAAACGCGAGATTAGTTAGTGTCTCCGGTTCTTACTTTGGAGGGAAAGCGAGCTTTGTGTCGCCAAGTTGAAGATGGATTTGGCCTCCGTGTTTCTCCTTCTCGTCTGGTTACAGGAGTCGGTAGCTGACGGTAAGTTACGTTAGCTAGCGTTAGCTGAGTTAGCGTTACGTTACTAGCTTACACTGTACGTGTCAGCGCCGTTTACGTCAAGTCATCCATCCCTCTAACCAACACACGGGAACGTGGTGGTGCGTGTCAGGAGAACCTTTTTATGGTCACTATTTTACTGGCCCAATGGCCGGGGCTGACGTTGATATCAGTAGAGTGACGTCACAGAGCCTTAAAAAATAAGCACCAACGGTTGAACTGGAGAGCAGGAGAAACTCTGCGTTCATATTTACTATGAATCTCGATTAAATCAACCGTGGAACATCGTAGTCTTCTCCTACGTGGCTGATCGCCTGAACAAACCCTCCTGCTGAGGTTTGCGGAGTTGCTGCATTTCTATTGCGGTCTGTTTCCTCTTTGTCCCCTTCAGTGTTATTACACAACTTTGTTTGTGTACCGTTAATGTCTTTCTGCAACTTTGATGAGGATTCAAGTACCAAAATGCAGTAGTCAAACATACACGACACGTAGATGCACTGGAATAGTGTGTACTGTAGTGAGTGTCTTCTTCTTATTAGAAATTGGTAAAATGATCTTTAATTACATTTTTGGTGTTTTGGCTTCGTTTGCCATATAAGTCACAAAGAAAAGTTGGAAAAAAAGTGGTGGGTGAAAAAACAAAGCCAGGAACACAATGTGCACTCTAATAACATTAACATGTCTTTGTTCTATTCAAGTGTACCAGTAAGCGTGTGGATTTGAAAACCGAGGCCACTTAGAATCAGCAAGACTTTTATTATTAATATTGTTGTTCTGGGTTTGTATCCTTATGGTTGAAATGTACTTATTGTAAGTCACTTTGGATAAAAGCGTCAGCTAAAGGACATGTAATGTAATTCAATACTAAGTCTGCACTTCATGTCAGCTCTCTCCTCTCTGAGTAGATGTTGTGCCAGTGTGCTAATGTCCTTCATTACAGCCATGGGGGGGGGGGGGCGGGGGCCCTTTCTGAATCTGCACCCTCATCATTTAAAGAGGCGTCCAGCAGACGTCTGCATCTTTGTCTGCAGCAGACGGCTCTTAATAATAACTGGATGCACCAAAGACCCACTCGCCCTCTTTGTCAACAAAAACAATTTCTGTCATTTCGTAAACAATCGGATCAATCTTAAAGCAAAACTACAGCCAAACGCTCCCTCATTTCAGCCTCCCGCTTCTCAGTGTTTTCTGATGTCTTATTAATAAATGTGAATTAATTACTACATGCAGAACGATTAATAACACAGGAATTAATGACAAAAATGACAGCAGAGTGTGTTGAAAGATAATGTTTCCAATTTGACCACAATCCAATGTTTGTACTTCTAAATGCAGAAAATGGCACCACTATAATATTTCGGACAGCACTCTTTTCACAATGTAATAAAGTTTGGAACATAGAGACAGAATCGTAAATGGCGGCGCGTGATGCTAGAGGAAGCATCGTTCATATAAATGAGGATATCCGATTTATATTTCACAACCGCAAATGTTCCAACAATGATGAAACGTGTATAACAACAAGGACATATGTAAGTTATTATTAAGTATCATGGCGTTATAGAAGCAGCTTGTACTTTAATGCTCATATTTCTGCACACAATCATTGCGCGTGATTGTTTCACTTCCCCGGTTGGACTTCCTCTGTCCCCCAGTGACCTTTTTAAAAAAAAGAAAGAAAAAAAAAAGAATGTGTTAGCATTATCTCTTACTGCTTCTGAAAGCGGTTTTGTTTTGCTCGCAGAAATCCTTTCACAAGGTCTCTCTTTCTGCGCATTCTTATTAACTCAGAAACGTGGGGAAAAAAATGCCCTAAAGTTGTGTAATATTCTGTGCAGATTGCAAAGGGATCGTGTGTGTTTGTGTGTGTGTGTGTGTGTGTGTGTGTGTGTGTGTGTGCGCAGTAAATCATTATTTCAAGAAATGTTTTATCTCCCGTATTGATTATTTCTTTCTCAGACCGTACCCAACGGGTCAAAGGTATCCTTCAAAATCACACTGGAATTTCACAGTGATCCATTTTCCCGCGGCGTTCAAAAAGCTGTCAAACTGCAGGAGCGTAAAAAGCGTAGGTTAAAACCCTGAGCCGTTGCGGTCTGGCCTGTGTGGGTCTCGTGCTTTCTCGTGGTGACCGCCTTCAGCGACCGACGTGACTGATGCGGTTAACGCTTCTTTGACAGTGCGGGCGTCTTCCTCTGTGATTTCCCTCTCGCGCCTCGTCACGGCGCGGCAGTAGGTTAGCACGTGCAGTCACGTAAATGCAGGCACCCGAGAGGAACTGAAAGTGAAATTGACGTTTTTCATTGTTCGCGATAACAGGTGGCTCATAAAGGTTATTCGAAGGTGTGTTCAGAAACTTGTGCACAAAGATTTTCCCTTTTTTTATTTAATTTTAAAATGCAACCCCAGGCCAGTGTCAATCGCCACCAATTAATAATCCAAAGCGCTGCTACTACTTCTTTACATTTACAACCTTTGTGTCTCTCTTTGTCTTCCTGAATACATTTAGAGAGTGCGTGCTCTGGAAATGTCACCAGTGTAATAATATTATATGGTTTACACCCGCTGACATTTCATCCTAACCATTGTAAACCAAACATTTATGTTGACACAGAAGTTGCAGCCCGGCTGCTTCCCGTGAAGTGAGGTTCATACAGGAACAGGCTTGTGTAAACATGCGCCCGATGAAAATCAAACTGGATTCCAGAGGTGATCAGTAGATTAAATACTTTGCTCGCCAGGGATTGTGGCACTGAAGTGGCTCTGTGCTACGGTCAATTTGAGGAACTAAGTGTGCGTGTTTATGGAAACAACATGGGTTTTACAAGCACCTGTACCTGTGCTTGTAGTACCAGCGCTAATGTTGACTTCTTCAACTTGGACCTCTTCCACACGCACGCGGTGCTCAATCAGTCTTAAACAATTTAAAACTTTGTCGTCTATGTATACATCTTGAAGAGCACTTATCCGCCCTAGTATTTCCAAAAAACCCTGCAGAAAATCCATGTTGATCGATTTGATCTGCTAATGCTAGCATGCTACTTCGGACCCCACCGATGTCTTCCATTATATCAACACTCATGTCCCTTAGCCAGCCTTCTTTTGCACACGGCTCTGTTGTCTGTTTCTGAACGTTAGATGTAGCCACGCCCCCAGATTTGCATATAAGAACGTGACATGTAAAACGGCATTATGAAATAAGTCTCTGGAAATGAAAAACGGCGTTATGAAATTACCATGAAATGAAAAGTGGCATTATGAAATAAACGTACCATGAAATAATTAAATGTATTTAATATTTATGTATTTATTGCCTCATTTATTTATTTCATGATGTATTTCAAATGCATATTTCATGTATTTATTCATTTATTTAATTTTGACTAAAACGGCATTCCATACGTGTTGAGATCTTTTTCTGCGTCGCTCCACGTCAGAAGACGCCGTTTGCACGCAGCGCCCTCTGGAGGGAAGTCCAGAGCGAGCAACGTTACTTTCCCTGTTTTCCCCTTTGGACGTCTCTGTTGAACTGGTGATATCTGCCGTCTGACGCTGCGTGTCTGTTTCCACAGTGGCGCCGCCGACCAACGTGACCCTGCACTGCCACAACATGAAGAACGTTGTGAAGTGGAGCTACGAGGACCCCCCCCCGCCGGGGCTCAGATTCAGAGTCAACTTAGGCTCATTCTACTCACTGAACAGGTCCGTGGTTTTCTGTGCACACATGACCTGCCTCAGATGTGCTTTCCCGTTAGAGGTATCGTCCAAGATCATCTGTGCTTTAAACTGCACAAACCAACACGTGTATTCATTTATTGTCCATCAGTTATCAGGAGAACTGGAGCGACCCGCGTTAACCCATCGTCGAGATATTATATTGATATTTTTTTCATTTTAATATTAATTTATTATTGTACTAGAGTGAGCGGATGCTCTTCACTGAGTTCGCCATGTTGCACCACCATGTTTCTACAGGCGCCCTAGTCACAAATGTCCTAGTCGGCACATATCCTCATTACTAAATCCTACACACTAGTCCTAATTCAAACATAATGTATCAAAATGTTGATTATTGTAATGTTACTGACTGTTTACATACGTGTACAGAAGGCTGATACATATTTTCGATGTGTCTAAAACTTGCCAGGGGCTTTTAGTCTTTCAGTTATTTGCTCATTGTCTTGTCCTGTTTGTATCCCCAGTTTCCCTAATGTGATGTGGGTCGACCCACCGGCTCAACAACAAGACGTGTCATTTCTCAATGATCCACAAAATGATTACTTTCTAAGCGTAACTGCTGTGATTGGACAGAACGAGTCTCTTCCCACTGACATCGTTTTCAGTTATTCCCGGAGCTCTCTGGCAGAGCAGAAATGTGAGTATTGATGTCATTCAAAACCAAAACCGTAAAATCAGGGAATTACGATTATTCTAAATCATTTTTTTAGAAACAATTACTAAAATGTAATCATTTTCATTATATTTAATATAATTTGTTTAACTGTAAATATTCCAAAAATAAGAGGAGCTATAGAAAGAATTTGCAAATGAATATTTTTGTGAATATTTTATGAATAAATAGTTAGGGTCAAAACAATATGTATACTTTAAAAAACATACAACATACATATACATACATAATACATAATTTGAAAAAACATGGATTCATAAAAAATAATATATATTTAGAAACCTTTTGGATAATGATCTTTAAAAAACAAAATATAAAACTGGATCCACAAAATGACAAAAAAGGGCAGCTCATAACTCCCTAAATTGCCCAAGAAATGGTCAGCTGGTGATTATCTCAGAGATCGAGATCACCTTTAACCCATTTTTCTGTTTCCAGGTAATTTGGACTTCCCATCGGTCAACGTCACTGCCCGACACAACGGCTCCGTCCTATTCCGCTTCTCCCATCCCTGGCTGCTCTACTTCCAGAAGCCGACACACAGTCCGAGTAAAAATAGAAGGAAGAAGAAAAGCGCAGAGCTCCCTGAATTTCAATACGACGTTCAGATCGTCAACCAGGTGAGACCCGGTTCAGAGGAATGTTCACCTTCCAGAGTCTCCGGGGACGTTAATGACACGCGAGCAAATGAGTCGCTTCCCGTTGTAGTGATCACTAGTCAAACAATGACAGTTGGTTTAGCACAGAGGTCTTCAACAGGGGGTCTCCGGAGGTTCTGCAGGGGAGTTGCGAAATGTTTGTTTGATTAAGACAATCTATATATATCTTTTTCTCCCACAAATGTAAATGCCTTTAAATACACGTTAACATGAATCCAACATGTTGTAGCGGTCAGATAAATTGATGGAGAAGACGTTATCTTTCAGTCCACAACGCACACATTCAGCTACACACAGCAGCTCTCAAGCTGAGCACCGGTTCACTCAGGGCCCCTTTCATGCTGATACGACAGCGCAGGCACCAGCCGATCAGATCGCGTTCATGCTCACGTCTAAAGAGCGCGAAGCTCAAAAATAAAAGATGGCGGACCAAACTCCGTAGAATAGGTTTCTATTCGTTCTATCAGTTTGGGGGGACCTCGGCCTGAAAAACGTTGAAGACTCCTGGTTTAGCAGAAAATGTGTTGATGTCGTTTCATTATCTATCAGTGTTTTTTAGGATTAGCATGATGCATCGCGCACATTTAACCTTCTCTGCATGCCTGTGAGCGGCTTTCCTGAAAAGCTCCGTTGTTTGTGCAGGGGGGGACACACACCTTTTTCTGTGAGGACAGCGTGTGTGAAGAGGAGCTGCTGGTGGACGCTGCACAGGAGAAACACTGCCTGAAGATGCAGGGAGAGCTGCAGGCCGTGTCGGTTCAAGCCAAGCAGGCGTACTGCGCCCCGCGGCAGGAAACACCGAGCTGTTGAGTAACTTTTTCACGCCTCCGCCGGAAGCTTCCTTTTTTTTCCCCCTAGTTGTCTGTCTGGTGCGCACGTGCGCGTTGGACAGAATTAATTTCGTGGTTCACGGGACACTGTGACCTCACAAGACACTTATAGAAATATATAAAGGCAGGACGTGAGGACATTTTTGACCGACATGGATTTAATAGTTTAAATATTAGGTTTATATTGACCACTTTTATATCAACAAGCTTTTATATCAGCTTTGGCAGTTTGTACGAACGGTCTTACTCTTTGAGTCCAGAGGATTGATGCAAAAAAACTGTACACTGTACTTAATGCCAAATACTACGTATGTGATGCTTGTCGTTGAAAAGTAAAAACACCTGCAAGTGCAAATCACAAAGCAGAATAGATTTTCATTCACCAGTCCGTCCCGATTCCTCTTTTTGCCAGGACGCATCCCAACGAGAAAACACGGCTCGTGAGGAATAACTGCCTGTGGCTTCTCGCCCAGGAGACAGAATTCAGGAGAACTCGGGGAATGTGCATGTAAATTGATTTGCAATGCAATGTCCTTGCATGAGGTCAACTTTTTCACAGCCGGATAAATGCACCAAACTCTCAAAGTTGTTTCCTCTTTTTCGGCTCGCAAATAAAAACATGCGTGATAAACATGTGAGATTATCAGCAGGATCTCTAACTGTAAACCACGAGTATCCGCTCACCTTCCTTTGTGAAAGTCTGAGTCAGAGCTCCCACTGGTCTCTTTTGTGTGATTTTGTTATTGTTCATGCATTTCTGTCATGTAGATCTCCTCCCCCTCTGCGTCTGCGGCGGCCTGTTGGTCTTGCCCTCGCTCGGATTGGTCGTCCTCATGCTGTACCGAAAAGGCACCAAGGCAGATATCGCTCCACCAGATTTTCTGGTACGTTCATCCTCCCAACTCTGGTTTCACTATTTGAACGGGAATTGTTTGGTTTGAATGAAAATGGATTTAGGTTTTGAAAATCTAAACCTGTCGAGGCCTTAAAACATTTCCAGTGTTCTGCCATAACCAGAATTCACCGTCCAGTGCACTGCGTGTGCACGATTACCAGTGCTAATGCTAATGACATGTAGCATACATTTGTTGGTTGCAGGCACCACACAGCATAAGAGTGTTCTAAGGCACTTACTTCGATGCATGTTACTGGTAATGTGCCACCCGGTGTTCAAATGTAGGAACTGCATGTCCCAGTTCACCCGGTGTTTCCCTCAAGCAAAGCAACAAAACCCACGTTATGGCTGCAACATATCCCGTCTCTAAGAATTTCCCTTTGTCTTTTTTTTTTCTTTTTTTAAAGATATTCCCGAATAAACGGTTGAAGGCGACGCACACGGCGCCGAAAGAAGCGCTCAATGTGCCGGAAGTGGGCTCGCCCACACGCCTGCTGCCGGCAGAGGAGGAGGAAGCCCGGACGCCGCTCAGCCCTCGCTTCACCGAGCCCGAGTTCCGTCTGCCCATCGGGGTGTTCGCGCGGGACGAGGGGGTGATTGTTGACGAGGAGGCGGGCATGGATGGAGAATCCGGGTACATGGGTGGCAAAGACCTGGACCAGGGAAGACGAGGACGAGGCGCCGTACTCCGGCAATGTCCACGTTCCTTATGAGAAGCGGCCGGTGCTGGATAATTTGGGCCCCAGGTGAACTGACTGAGGGTTTTCGTGGCTAAAGTTGGGGGGGGGGGGGGGGGGCTCACAGCACATTGTGCCACATCGACTGTTCGATCTGTTTAGATCGAATAAGACCGAACAGCGACTTGTTACAATGCAAAGTGAACGCAGATGGAGAGACATCTCCCTTCCTGTTGCACCTTAACATGAGTTACATTTATCTTTCGCATTTATATGCCAAAGCGGCCTTTGGAAGTTTTATGACGTACTGGATCCAAAACATTTCCGAATCAGAGTCCCTGGAATGTCAGCAGCATAATCCTAGATGGTAATGCTGCATGTATTGTTGTTTTTAACAGGCTATTTGGGTTTAATGCTGTGATCGATCCTGCTGGTGTCACAAAGATGACGTCAGTGTCCAAAAAGGGCACATGATCTTTTTAAAAAAGAGTTATTACTTCCCACGCATTTACACAATAGCTTTAGCATGTACAAAATCTCACTCTGTGATTTAATCGCGCAATACTACCCGCTGATGGCATTCGAAATGTGTTAATCATGCATGTGATGCACGCACACAGGCTTTAACACACGTGTGAATCTACAAATACTGAGAATTTCCTTTTTGCTTATTTGCACCTGGGACTTTGTTGATTGGTCCTCAGCACCTTAAAGTGAACTGGATGTGTCCTGATGTGTGTGATAGCAAGTGCAGAGAGGTGGAGGTCGTGCAGCCTTTCAATCCATGTAAGCAGGTTTCGCACCTTTTGTGTAGTTAAACACACTTAGTGTCGTGGCTCATATCCGGGTTTTAGTTGATTTTTGGAGCCACTCCAAATGTTTTGTATGTAACCTTTTTTTGTGTTCTGTAACTTAAAAGGTGTGAATGTTAGATGTGTTTTATAGTCGGTGCTGAAACATGAACAGTGAGTCTGGCAGAAGTGAAACCAGGAAACGCTTTAAGCGACTCTGACAACGGGAGTTTGGAGCTGGTGCTTTTCTTTGTTTTGGATTTGGCGCTGCTCATTAAACTCATCCACTTAATTGTCTAATTTAGCTACTGAGCTGTTCTGTCGGTCAATCTGTCCACCTCATTTTTTTCCTTTTCTTTCTGAAACAGCCATTTTTGTATTTGTCCTCTGTCATCTTTTAAGTATTATGTACGTCTTTCAAATAAAAAAATAATACATTCATCGGGCCTCTTCTGTTTGTATCCTGTTGCACTGATCAAATAGGTGGAATGAAATACATAGTATTACATACATGTACTCATGTACTATACGTACAAATCCGAGGTTGTTTTTTATACCATAGTAACACCCTTTTGCATCAGCTGTGAAACTTATGATCACAAACCTGAAAAACGTTTTTTTTTATTGAGCTCATGAAGAGACGGATGTTTTTTACAGCACAACAACACTACAAACTATCCGAGTATAATGGAGTTTATAAATTGGTTAACATAACCGTGTAACTGAATGAGTACTTTCGTTGTGCAATCTGGCTGATTAATACTTTTAAAAAGTGCCGTTAATACTTTCACTCAACTGAAGGATCTGAACACTTCCTCCAGCGCTGTTGTACGCAAACTTCAGATGACATTTGTCTCTTCAATTGAATGTTCGACCAGTTACTGTTTATGAAACGCAAACTGCTCAGGAAGGGAAGTTGGTACTTCAGTGAATCTGCCGAGATCCATCGCAACCGTTACTACAGAAATGTCACGACATTTCAGCGGCCGTGTCCTTCCTTCTTCTGAAGCTTGACAACGGAGACCTCTTTTGTGCGTGTGTGTGCGTGCGTGCGTGCGTGCGTGTTCGGGATGCTTCCTTCCTCTTTCCTGGCCGCGTGTGGGAAACTTCTTTTGTTTCTATAAAGCAGAGTTATATCCAGAACTTCAATTTGCACAGTCATCAATTATTTGAAGGTTTTGCAGAACAACAATTATACAATCTGACCGCTTCTGTAGATATTTATACACCTGTTTACAATACATTGATAATTGACACAAAGTGGAACCATGAAGTAGATAAGATGTGGGCCCTCCACCTTTCTCTCTGTTCTCAATGAGCATGAAACACGTTTCCAGTAAACTGTTCTCATATGAAGAATTTATTAACGGGAATTATTGATTCAATAATAAAACCAGAGCTGAGCTGCTTTACTTTCATTCATTTGAGTGGAATTGTGTCAATACCTTTTTCTTCTATAGCGAGTCAAAATGTGAAAGTGAAAAATGACTTTTCCAGAACATTCACGAATACTTCATCATTTCAAATGAAAGCGATGTCATTCAAATCCATAGAACAACAGCTTCCTGTCTTCTGGGTCCAAACATTCTGGAAAAGTCAAAAAATTTCCATTTGCATTTCACAGAAACGGATGAGAAATATACACGTCATAAGGTGACGATGGGGAAATGCATTTCTTTCCCTCAAAAGCGTACTTCTGTGTCAAAACACTCCACGTGTGCGTTGTGTCACATGCTGGAAACGATGGCATTTAAAAACAGGAAGTCAACTTAAATAAAAGGTGTCCGCGTCCTGCGCAGCATCAGTCCAGTGACCTCGGCCGCGCCATGACTGACCTTCTGCTCCGAGTGGTGCTGCTGGGGAACCTGGGCGCCACGGGTCCAGGTAACCGCCGACTAACACGCGTGTTTTGAGCCTTGTGGATCGTTGTTGTCTCCAAATGATTCAATTTTAATGTCACACAGATGATGATTGTGTTTTTGTTTTGATTTTTAAACATCAGCGATCAGCTGAGAGGAACTTGGCAGGTTTAAAGAATGTAACTTTAGGCCTGTTGTTCTCTATTATAACAAACTGTTTCCTGTAAGATGCGAATAATGACATTGAAATGTGTAAATGTGGCCTCGACGTATCATCAGGGTTCTTATGGATCAGATGTGACCACACGATGTGCCGGGTGTGTAGTAAACAGGAGCACACGTGCATGAGGTTCTTTTAGGGAGAAACAAAGTCCTGGTTGATCTCTGATGCTCATTATGTAACACACACTGGGAAGCTGTTTCTACTAATTCCAAACTTAAGAGCTTCTGTCTAATAACGTCTGTTGTTCTTTTACTAACCAACTAGACAATAATGGACTGATGGTTCTATCTCGTCATTCTTCAGCTCCCCTGATGCTCGCTGCCCCCACCGGGGTGAGGTTTGACTCTGTGGACTACAGGAACGTTGTGCACTGGACTCCAGCCTCCAACAGCTGCTCGCTGCAGTACCACGTCCAGTGGAAGATGTGAGCCATGACACACGCACGCACACACACGCACGCACGCACGCACATGCACGCACATGCACGCACAACAGAGAGTAAAACGCTCTCTCTGCCCTTCAGTTACGGCGAGCCTCAGTGGTTGGACGCGCCCGGCTGTCAGCGGATCCACAAGACCCGTTGTGACCTCAGCGCCGTGACCTCTGACCCCAGAGAGTGGTATTACGCCAGAGTGCACGCTTCCTGCCGGCCCTCCGGCAAAACGGCCTGGGCCCTCTCGCCGAGGTTCAGCCCGCGCTGGGACAGTGAGTGTTTACCCTCCTCCTCCGTCTCCTATTTCTCCTCCTTCATCAAACTAAATCCTCGTGTCGAAAAAACCCCGCAGCCGAAATCAGCCCCCCTGTCCTGAGGCTGGAAGTCACGAAGCGGGGGATCGTGGTCCGTGTGAAGCCCCCCAGGCTGACGGTCCGCAAGAAGCACGGCGACCTGCTCCACGAGATCTACCTCATCCACCCCGGAGGACGGGAGGTACACACACACACACACACACACACACGGTAACAGTTGCTTTTCTGTCTCTTGGAGCAAATATAATAAAGGTAATGAAATGTACAGAATATTAAAACCATCACTACTCTTACAAAGAGGAAGCAGAAGAGTTAAAAGCAGAAGAACAACAACCACAAAAAGCAAGAATATTACCAACCATAAATTGCAAAGACCATAAAAGGAGCGCACGCCACTGGTTACGTGACATGGACCTTCTCCCCTTGGCAGGAGGTGTTTGAGATGATCTGCTGCTCCAACAAGCTGCCCCTGAAGAGGCTGAAGCACAACGCGACGTTCTGCCTGCAGGGACAGACCGTGATCCCCCTGCAGGCCAAGAGCAGCGGCCGCAGCGCCGTGAAGTGCGTCACCACGCTGTGACCACACACCAGTACGCGCGCACACACACACACACACACATTGTCTGAGTGTGAAGGGAAACCTCTCCGCTGTAACAAAACAAATATTACAAAAGTCAAGTGTCAGTTGTCGCACAACGCGGTGAGACAACAGGAGGGGAGGGAGATTTTCTCCACAATGACACCATAAGGCCCCCCGGCACTATTTTTAGGTTTGTAGAGCTGTGATGATGTAATGTAACTGGAGGGTCATTCATCTTTCCCCCCCCTGTAGTCACACGAGGCAACGGCGGACGTTCCAGCGGTTCAGCGCCGATCACCCGTCGCTACCTCGACAGCAGCAGACATAAACAACCTCACGATACAAGTGCAGCACTTTATTCTGAGAAGCATCAAGGATCCGACCCGATGAACTTTCTGTCCCTGCATTGTTTCAGTGAAGATTCATTTACATTTAAATTGTTGATAATCTTAACTCAAGGTCCACTTTGCTGCTGATGCTGTTCACAAAATAACTATTGAGTAGAACCAGAGTTTTGTATGTATAATATATGTGTTTTTGTGCTTTCATGGAGACCAGCTCATCTTTCACTACAGAAACACTACAAGGACAATGAAGTAGAGCAGTTTGTGTTACCTTCCAACTGACTACGGAAAAGCACAAATCATCACACACGATATCAGTGAATCACACGTTTAACAATCTTCTCTTCTTTGTCTCAACATTTGTATTCATTTGAATGGAAAAACAAATAATTTGGTGAATGAGTGACCCCCGAACTATTTGTTTGCACACAACACTCAACGAATGTTCAGATACACAACGTGGAGATAAATTGTGTCTTTGTGGATCATGTCAAAAATAAACGCCACATTGATCACACTGGTGTATTCTGTCAAACTGCACAAACTTTTTGCTATTACTCATTTACAACTTAAATTTTTTCTATGACTATGCTATGACTTTTTTCAAATACTATCATCTTAATTACTTTTTATTCCATGAATTTTAAAAATGAAGAAAACAGCAATAATTGTAACAACAACAACAACAACTTCAAAAGAAAAACAAGTCGACGAAAGCCTCGATTTAGACTTTATTCAAAATGTCGATAAACTTGTTCAATTAGGCGTGAAACAACCAATACTGTAAAGAGACTTAAAAACGTCCACTGAACCGGATCCAAAAGCGCCTCATTCAGCGGGACGTCTCTTCTCGCCGCTGCTCCTCTGAGGTCGTCTGTCGAGTTCTCGTTGGTTTAGTGGTTTTGGTCCTGAGGACAAAGAGGCCGTGGTGCTGCTGGAGACGAGTTTGGTCCCAAAGCCTGAAGGCGTTCCAGGTGCAGTGGAATGTTTTTCGGGGCGCGTCGAGGCGTCGTTGACCTCGGTGGACAAAAATTGTCTTCGTCAGCTGAAGGCCAACTGAGGACAAACTGCAGAACTCAACTTCAAAACAGAAATACAACATTTTCAGGGGGACACACAGCACCAGTGCATTATGGTATTTACAAATAACCTTAATTCATTAAAAAATAAAAGTAAATCCAGTGATATCTTGGCTTGTAAACTGCCCTTTTAACAGCTTGATTATTAGTAAGGCTTTTACAGTGTTGCTTGACAGTCAGTGGTCACAAAATACAGAACACGGGGAACTTCCCATTCTAAATGATCCGAAGATGCCACAGTGATACACACACACATCAGCATTACAATTATATCTACACAATTTGAGAGTTCACAACTCACTGTAAACACGCTTGGTTTTGTCCTCTGAAAGTGGGAAACACTTGTCAACTTGTCTTCATTCATTAGAAATAAAGACCGCAGTTAAAAGTCGAGGGGTAGAATCCCTCAAAAGCTACATAATGAAGTTCCTTTGTTCGGGCTTTAAGGGAGCGACCACGGCGGCACAGTCAGACCTCCACACGGACACGCGTGACGTGTCCTTCACCTGGTTTACGTTACCACAATGTTTCTGTCCTCTAACGTCTCCAGACCTTCCTGAGCTGTGATGAGAAGGCTGTTGGCTACGTGTTTGTTTCATGCTTCATAAGATCTGGAACTTGGAAACAAAGCAAAACCAGTCAGGTAAATTAAATTAATTAAACTGAGATGAATGTCAATGTTTAGCTTTAAAAAGATTTTTTTTTTTTAAGAGGGGGGAGGAAAGAAACCTCAAATTATACAAAGTGGAATGCTCATAATAAAGAGTATGTGAGAACTTTTAGGGTTTCAGGGTAAAGTATTCCTATTTCATGCACTTGATGTTTCCACAAAATTCATCTGAGATTGTGCAGCGTCATTGGATGAGAAATTCATTTTCGAGCAGGTTTTCCTGACCTAAACATTCGTGGCCAAAGGGTCGCGAAACATTACCCCCCCCCCCCAAAAAGGATGTTCTATAAATACACTCAACACAACTGAACTTGTTCGCTTTGTAGCTCTTCTTCCAGCTGCTTCTCTAAAAGCTTTAGGACTGAGGGCCGAACATACGCTCCAGTATGTAGCCTGTCCCCGGAACACAAACGGTACTGCAGCATCGCTGACTTTTAAAACACAAAAAAGCACAAATGAAAAAAAAAAAGCATCAGAAAGATATGGGATAAAAAGAAATATTTACAAAACAAGACATAGGTTGGGGTTTTTTTGTTCAACATTTTAAGGGTACACGCATGATTCTCGAGTCCAAAAAACAAATCTAAAAGCGCGATCGCACAACTTCAAAAACCGACATGGAATGTACGTCCTGCTGGTCGCTACGGTCAAGTCTCTTCATATTAAATTACCTATAAAAATATATATATAAATAAAAAGGTGAGGGTATTGTGTTGCGAAAGCTGCAGCGGCGGTCAACGTTTAGCTGCACCGACAGAGGAGGAAGGTAACAAAAGGGAGGAGGGGGAGATGGAGGGGGAGACGGAGGGGGAGCCAAGTGAACTGGCTGTCGAGGATCCAGTGACCAGGAGGAGGCGCCGAAAGTTCACAGCGGACGTCGCAGTCCAGACCAAAGAGAACCGACCGCGGCGGCTGGAAACATTATGACACGTGTAACACTGCAACGCTAAAAATACCTTCAACATCCGGAAAATTAGCGGTTGATAACTGGGCCAATTTGGGAGGGGGGGGGGGTGGAGGGGGAGGGGCTCCAAACACGTTATCGTTGTTGATCAAGGAGTTTGCGAATTCGTCGTCATCCCGCCGGTCTTTGGTCTGATCTCAAATCTCGAACCGGAGAACACTCGACATTCCCGAACCGAGACGAATGTTTTTAAGGACAGAACTTTTAAAGGAAAAACGGGGGTTGGAGGGGGGGGGGCAGCTCGGTTTGCTGTGTGTGTGGCTCCCTAGGAGAGGAACCCTTTCTCCAGCTCGAAGACGGACGTCCTCCCCGGGGAGCTCTGGATGCGGCACAGCGGCACGGTGCAGTCTCGTTTCTGTCCCTCCGTGTCCACGTCCAGCAGGGAGCAGCCCGTCCCCACGTCCGCGGTCAGCACCACGCTCAGGTTCTGGGCCGCCTTCCCCCCGGAGTAGTGGCCCAGCGAGTAGCTCTTGTTGCGTCCTCGCAGCAGGGCCCAGGTGTGCGGCTTGGCCCGGAAGGACACGGGCCGCGGCCTGGCGCAGGCCTCGCCCCCCCGGGGCCTCTCCGACGGCCCCTCCTGCGCTCGCTCGTGCTTCTTCTGCGAGGCCGGAGGGGCCGGAGTGGTGGCGTATTTCTTTCTGCGCAGGCGGGTCCCCGTGTTGTGGTTGCTCTGCTCCGGCGGCTGGCTTTGGGTTTGCAGCGGGGTCCGTGCGTTGGCCGCGGCCCTGTTATTCTGGCCGGCGCCGGCGTGGTGATTGGCGTCCGCGAGCTCGACCGTCCCGGACCTGGAGGGCGACGCCTCCGCCGCGGACTGCGGGGGGCTCCTGGCGGAGTGGCTTTCCATGATGGCCGACATGGAGATGAGATTGACCGGCTGGGCGGCGGCGGCTTGGTTCGCCGGCGCCTCCTCCTTTCGCGGGCGACCACCCGGCGGCGAGGTGCTGCGGCGGAAGCGGGTCGCCCGCTGAAACAGGCCCTCCTTCTTCTTCTTCTCTTTCTCCTCGCGCTGCGGCTCGCCGTCCTCCCCGGGGGCGGAGTTCTTGAGCGCCTCCCTGATGTCATAACCGAGCACGACCGACGCCAGCAGCGAGCCGCAGCCGTACAGCACCGAGTCGGTCTTGCGGCGGGCCGACGCCCTCTTCAGGCTGTTGGTGGGGGTGACCTGCGGGGTGGTGGAAGTGGAAGAGGTGGACGTCGTGGTGCACGGGTCTTCCGGGGCCTCCGGGGTGCCGCCCCCACCCGCCGCCCCGACCCCAGAGTCTCCCGCCCCGCACGGCCCCCCGGGGCTCTGGGGCTGCTGCTCGTCCCTCCACAGAGGCAGGTCGATGTACACCTGGTTGGGGAACTTGAGCGGTTTTGGCTTGGAGCTGCTTTCGGGACTTTCCTGGGAGGAGGCCTCGTCTTTACCGGCCCCCGCTGACGACACAGAGGTGGAAATCAGCCAGCAGAAGCGTTACACAAAAGTACTTAATTGTCTTTGTGTGACAGACGTTAAAAGGAAAACGAGGGTTATAAGTAATCAAACACAGAAATAAACGCGTACAGACGATCACAACGTGCGCGGCATCACGCGGGATTTTCAGCTCACTTTGTTCAGCAAACAGGGCCGAGAGGGGGACAGACTTCTGGGATTTGACCAGGCTGGTGGACCAGGGGTTACTGCCGTCTGACAGGGGACGCACTCTGGAGACACACAGAAGTATAAAAACATCACGCACAAAACACCAGCCTGTGTGTGTGTGTGTGTCTGTGTGTGTGTGTACCTCTCCGCAGCAGCAGGCCTCTCTTTGCTCTGTACTGAACTGGGCCCCCAGGTTCTTCCTTTCTTCTTGATTCCCCTTTTCACATCGTCAAACTCCTCTGGCCTGAAGAGGGCGCTGCGGCCCCACGTGCGGTTGCTTTCGTCTTGGGTAACTGTCGACACAACAACAGACAGAGAAACCCGTGTAGACACGTTAGTACGATTATTTTAAAATGTACAGTCCATCCGTAAAACCTCAGTAAATACAGTAATACAGACTAAATGTTAAATAAGCAAATAATTAGTCGTGGGTGTTCTCTCATAAGAATGTATTTCAAGGCAGTTATACACTGGATGGCTTTTTAGCTTTTACCTTAATAACGGCATTCATTTAGGAAGATTCAAAGTGACTATTTTCTATAAATATACTAGAAAATATCACCAATGTAAACCTTTATTTGTGAAAAGGAAATCAAAACCTCCAAAAAGCATGAAAACCAAAGCTGTTGCAAAAGCTTACAGCTGTTGTGATGGCAGCAGACACGGGAAATCAAAATTATTATTTTTTTTAATTAAGATGATTGAAATAGAAATTTTGCAGAATCCGAAAGTCTACGCAGTAAATTGCTACCAAGAATAATACCAGTGAGAAAAACCAGCACACCCCAAGGCCGCACATTAGAAAAACCTCGTCAATCAGCCAACATGATCCCCACAGACGTCAATCCCTCTCATATGTCAGAGAAGCCAGACATCACGAGCAGCACGCGGGAAGCCGATCGCTTCTCGAGGCCCCGCGAGGCCGCGAGCTCGCTGGTCAGATCGACATTATGTTGGTAAACATACAAACCGTCCCTCCGCATGTGGGACATCGCTGGGGAGGGAAGTAAACCAGTTACCTCTGACCAGCGTGAGACAAGTTGACTCCTAGTTTTTACTGCGCTAAAATGTAGTTGAGAGACAGGTCAATGACAGTAAGGAAATAATAAAAGAAAGAATATATATATATATATAAGAATATATATTCTTTTAGATTAAATACTATAGATATTTGGGACGTTTTTTATAATATAGTACACTTTTTGTTATAATAAATCGCATGTATCCATTTAGTGAGATGTGTTCCAATACATGTTAAAGTAAAACTATCAAAGAATTTAAAAAAGTGCACTATTTCTTGGTAGTTAGAATAATTGTTTGCTCTTCATTTAATTGCATGTTTTGTGCACCTATGTTTCTGTGTTGTCTCTCACGCGCGCACAAAGACACACACACACTCGCGCGCACGCAGGTCATGAAATATTCCTCCCATCAAAACAAACAGCGATTCTGAGCCACAATCGGCGCTTCACGTCCGAACATCATCATTGCGCGTAGATGCTGAGCAGGAAGTTGTTACTGGCGGGCCGTTGGTGCGTGACCAAACTGTCCAAACAACTGGCTGCTCGTGGCTCGGGAGCTCTCGTTCACACGCCTCTCGCCGCCGGGACACTGGAACTGCTGACTACTTAAGAGAACAAAAGGAACAGGACTCACGCTGAATGGCTCGTAGCCGGGGGATGAGCGTGGGGCTGCTGGGAGGAGAGGAGCTGGTGCTGTGAAGGCTCCGCCTCTTGTCCATGGAAGGCGAGGCCTGCACAGTGATCTTATGCTGGAAGTCTGCAAAATGCAATATACAACTAATTGATATTTGAAGAGGAAACGGCAATGAAATGAAAGTGTGGATTTGGGAGAATAAATGTGCGGCGCGTTCCCCCACCTGAGGGCAGGCTGATGCGGTTTCCGTCCTTCAGTTTGAGGCGGGAACGCTTGAATTTGCCTTTCCTCTTCTTCACGTTGGGCTTGTCTTTGTTGAGCTGGAAGATGAGGATGTTGAGCTCCCTCTCCAGCACGTTGATCTCCCGCTCGGCCAGCTGCTGCTCGCGGCGCTTCAGGAGCTCCTCCTGAGACTTCTGCTGGAGCGTGGCCCGCGTCAGCTCCTCCTCTCGGGATCGCAGCTCCTGGAGGAACGCGGCGCCGGGACGCACGGGTCGTTAGATCGCACAGACACGCCTTTTTTAATGAATGTTTCTCAGCCGGTAAGACACAACTCTCTTGTAAGACCGATGAGAATGCATTGCAAATCAACAGGTGGTAACACGTCTCATGAATCATTACACTACAGGTCATTTAGCTGACACTTTTTACCCAAAGCGACTTACATCGCATTTTTTAACCCATGGCTATTTACATTTTTGCCGAGGGGAGCAATTAGGGGTTAGGTGTCTTGCTCAGGGACACGGGGGCTCAAACCGCCAACCTTGCGGTTCCCAGCGCACCCTCTCTACTCCACACGCCACCATCGAGCCTATGAATCCTATGTAACAAGGGCAAAAACAGAAAAAGGAGGCAGCAGTGTATTGAATAACGCTTCCTTCAGGGAGATTACTGCCTGCTGTTTCAGGCCGTTTTTACCAAGCTAACCAGTCACGTCCCCCCAATTTCCCTTTAACTGCTCGCAGTTGAGTAATAATAATCCTTACTGGATGACTTGCATAAAGTAGCTTTCCAGTCAAGCACTTCGGCCACCCACCTAGACGCAGATTACTGCGGGGCGTTTGGGGGAAGGTAATGTGCCATGTGTAAATGTTAGATTATGCTCTAAGCTATTTGTTTCTTCCTTCTCATGATTTATGGTTTACATAACAAACAAGCTTTATAGGGCTTTTTAAGGCCTTATGTGATTAACACAAAAGATACGTGTTAAAAATGTGGTTTAACACAACAGAACATTTCTAATAAATTAATGTATAACACTAAAAATATATAACTATCAAATTAAAAAAAGGCATAAATTAAAGTTTTAGGACTTTTTAGTATCTGTGTCATTCAGTTCACCATTTGTTGACTCAGCTCTTTGTGCTGATCCTGCAGTCTCTACAAACACTAATTAACCCCCCCGCTTTAAGCCAGCAATGGGAGACTTAAACAGGAAGCAGATTAAGGTTTTAACAAGGGGAAGCCTGCTGAAGCGCCCGGGCATTAATCACACTTTTTGTCTAACGCGCAATTAGCGTTTCCACTGAAAGTAACCAATTAAGTCCATAAAAAGCTGCCCAAGCTCAGATAAACCTCAGCAATCAGTCAACGTGTGTTACTACTGGTGTGTAAAAATACAGACAGAAATGAGGGATGGAAGGTCTGCCTCATAATCGGCACGTCGGGTTTCTAACTTCTAACCACATCTGGTGAGGAAGCTGTAAGGTCTTCATCGCCCCGTCCCACCTTCTCTTTGGTCCTGAGCTCGTCAAACATCTCCTGGATCTCCACGCGCCAGTCGTCCTGCATGCTGTGGAAAGAGTCCTGGGGCATGGTGGCCATCACCGCCTCCTCGATGGCCGACAGCTGCTCCAGGATGCAGGAGAAGGAGGGACGCACGTGGGGGTCCTGGTCCCAGCACTCTGGACGAGCCCACACACACACGGTACATGTTAGTTAGGTACATAACTGCGTGTAACGGTCGTCTCATGTCATTCTGAAGACAAAAGTCCATTGAACCGTTTCCGTCCCGCAGCATTATCATTATGGTTCCGTTACACATTTACCTTCCATGAGCTTGGCGAAGGGTTCGGGGCAGGTGGAGGGGATTGGAAGAGTTAACTTATTGACAGCCACTCCGTAGGCCACAGCCAGGCCGTCTATCCCGCGGTACGGAACCTCCCCCGTGAGCAGCTCCCACAGCAACACGCCATAGCTGACAACGCAGGACATTTAGCAGGAGGGTCAGTGACACGGTTTGATAAATGCTTGCTGGGGTGTGCTGCGTCCTGCGCGCCATTTGTCGTACCTCCACACGTCACTGCCTTTGGAGAAAAGAGAGGACTTGATCACCTCGGGGGCCATCCACGAGTAGGTGCCCGCCGCCGACATTTTCGTGGTTTTGTGCCACTCCCTCGCCAGGCCGAAGTCCGTGATCTTCAGGGTCTTCCTTCCGATGTCGTCGTTCTCGATCGTTTCAAGTAATAAAACTGAGAAGAGAGAGGGACTCGTCAGTGAGTGACTGAATGAAATGGTTCGGGATGAAAGTGACAGATGTGACGGTTGCGGCCGTGATATTCGCTATAAGACCTGACTAAAGACCAAGGTGACATTTTTGAATGTCTTGTTTTGTCCAACCAGCAGTTCAAAACTGAAAATAGATCCCAGACTAACTTTCTATTCAATCTTTTCATCACAGTGAAAAAATATTTTTAACTACAACCATAACTGACAAACCTTCCTCTCATGTCTTTGTCAAAAAGACGCGAGTGGTGCGTATCAGCCGCCAAAGTCAAGACTCCTTGATGCTTTTGTTCGCTGTTATTTATCAAAATGTGCATTTGCCTCTGCAAAGATCTCGTGTTACAAACTGTCCCATTTCATGATTTACAGGCAGGTCAGTGTGGACATGTCTTATCAGCTGTGGACATTTAACAGCATGTCATTTCAACTTGAGTCAAAGATATTTCTTAAAGTGGTTTGCCGAGCGTCACTTAGGTGGGAAAACTTCCTGTGCGAAGGTAAACTAGTGGAGGCGTTGAGACGAGTTCCCGACCCGACACGCAACGTGCATCACAGCGCACACCTGAGAAGGTTGCTCAGTTCATAAGGCTGCTTGTTAACAGCTTCCTGCAGACGCTCTGATCTGTGAGAGTGGAACTCGAGTGGAGCGGCTACACGGTGTCGGTCACTGACCTTGGATTCACTCCGTCAGACATTGGACTGAATGTGCAACACACACACACACACACACACACACACACACACACACACACACACACACACACACACACACACTTTAAGTTTGGTCTTTTCCACTATTTAAGATTAAATGGTTCACCTAAAATACACTTCGTGACCCTAAAGCCTGGCTGGACACACATTGTGATCATTACAAACAATAGTGAATGTGTGCGGCCAGGAACAGAAGATTGACGGCTTGATGGAAGACACACAGAGAACGGATGTTGTGAGCTGACGGATCTTGATCTTGTTTATTGGATGAAATCCAAAAAGGACGAACATTGAGAACAAGCTTCTAAAATGAGGATTTATGGTTTTGTTTTAGTTCATTTTTGAACGCCTCACCTCTGATCCCAAAGTTTGGCTTAATTTGTAATTCTTTTTTTACTACAACCTAAAATAAAATCGGCTCAGTGGACACAGACAGACACACACAAAGGGTGGACTGATTTTGCGCTGCGTTTTAGGCGCAGTGAGACTCCTATGGGTTCTACTAATAACAGGTATTGGTGCCATTACCCCCCTCAGGCAAGGAGGGGATCCTCTGCCCGGGCTGCAACAATAGGAAACCCATTACAAACAGGTTTCACCAGACCAATGATATACTACTTCTTGTTGTCAGGTTCCCGCTCAGGGACCTCGTAGCGCGTATGAGGACTTACGCCGGGTTAGAAGAACAGTAGTCTTGGGATAACCCCTTCTGCATTGAGTGGCCTATAGAATTTCACGGCAAATGCTTCCTTTGTAGCGCCGCGATCCTTCAGTCAGGCCCCTAGAGGTTTCACTCGCTCACTCTACCCTCTAAAAATAGGAAATAGGTCATTGAGGCTGCAGCTATTACTACTTAGAATGTTTTTTAGCCTGCTAGTTGTTTTTGTCAATGGATCGTGGATTGTAAAAAGTCTACGACAGGACTACTGTCGCTTGTCATTGTATGCATGAATTCTCTGATATAAATGAAGGTTATTATTTACATGTTTACATTACAGGTCATTTAGCAGACGCTTTTATCCAAAGCGACTTACATTACACTTTAAACGCATGGCTTTTTCACATTTTGCCCAGGGAGCAATTAGGGGTTAGGTGTCTTGCTCAGGGACACTTCGACTTGAGACATGGGGCAGCTGGGACTCGAACCACCAACCTTGCAGTTCCCAGCACACCCATGACGACCCATGTTTACATGAGACATCAGTCATCAACATTCACCGTTTAAGCAAGATACTACAATCTCAATTAGAAAATAATGTTGTTCTTTTTTTTTTAACGTTGGAGGCATGGAAACGATTCATGCTACTTTATCATTGGTTGCTGTAGCATACTGGTGACAAGACGATTTAGGTGATTTTTTTGTCAATTTGGTTAATTTGATGGTATTTAAGGAGCCGCCGACGAGCCCCTTCAGTGGGGCAGCGGCTCAGAAGCACGGCATAAAGGTACAGCACGTAGCATAGATTGCATCCTTTTAATGGGTCGATAGTTTTACACAATTTCTGCATTTGATTTCTGTACCAAAACACTTCTGCTATTTACACATATTTACCAAATTCCAATTCAAATACTCAGATGGTCTCTTGAAACAACACATGGATTTGCATTCAAAAAGAGGAACAAGATGTTCTGGCCAACTTCTATTTTGGGTAATCCTAAAAGTCAAGCCCTAGGCAACACCCCGCCTTAAAGTTAGCACCTTTTAGAGCCTTCACACTGGTGCTAATGCACTAAATAAAGCTGCGGCTCGTCGTTCTTGGGTATTGTTTTGCGCGTTGGAAGATATGCTGAACAAGTTCTTTTGGGTTATTAGAAAAATAAATACAGGCCACAGAAAATGCCCGACATCTTTGAATTGGTTGGTATACTGGAGAAATATGGAGAAAATTATCCAACCACTAAATCCACAAAAGCTTGTAAACTGTATTTCTCTCCAAAATATTTGAAAAGGATACAGAATGGAATAAAAGCTGCGTACTCTATAATGTTATCATTGCCGTTATATTATCTGGTTTACCAATTGCATTAACTACATTTTTTTATTGCACACTGCAAAAAGTCTGGTGATACTTTTAGGTCTCAGTATATAGTTTACTATTTTCAATGGAGAAAATGTGGAGCAGCGTAATGCAATTGGAGATGGATATGCCCCACAGCCAGACCCCACCCTCAGTCCAACCCCCCTTTAATTCCCCTCCCCAAACAGTGGGTCTTGAGGCAGACATCTTTCAGGGTGGAACGGTGGGCAGATCAGAAGCAGAGCTGCTGCCTTCAAAGCGGCTCCCACGCTTCTTCCCATCGCCTATTCCCCCTCAAGGTAAAAAAAAAAAAACTTCTTTGGCAAACCATTTCTTCTCTATTCAACAAACTAAAATACCTCAGGTGTAACAAAGCTGCAGCAGGTATTTAAAAAAACATAAAAAAAATGTTTTGGAGCACTGTTGCCGTTTCCTCATTGAGTATACTGACTATTACTTATTTAAGTTAGTTTAAATTAGGTTAATTTGTGTACAAAGTACTCATGTATTAAAAATATGGTATTTAGTATTCCATGTAATATCAAATATGCACATAGCAAGTCTTCAGTAGCGAGCAGTGCATTTGCAAAGCCAGTTCTCTTGGTTTACAGATAACAGGATCTAAAACGGTTCTTCTATATTGCACAATGTTTTAAGGCAAACTTTAAAAATGATTTACTCCTCTACTACAACAAAGGTTTCCAATTAAACAGTATGTGAGCATATTCCTGGGGCCTCTCTCTGGACTGAGCATTGAGGCAACGTGGTTGCTGTAGAAATTGGGGAGTGCGGCCTCCTAACTTGCCGTGGCGGTATTTTCGTAACTGTGCCAACAGACTTAGCGCGAGAGTAAGAGGGCTTCCTGTAGTAAGCAGAAACAAGGCTGCGAAACATTCCCCGACTGGTCCGTCCCTGCCGCCTGCAACCAGAGTGGCCCCCGGGCTTTCTGGTTGATGGGAAAAGGATCAGGGTCTAATAGCTGGCTGAATCCATCCATCATGGTCACGTCTCTCTGGGCCACTTCCCCTTTGTCTGTCCCCTTCCTCTGCTGGTCTCGGTCCGTCTAAGCCTGAATTAACCCAGAACCAGGCTGATTAAAACATGACTAATGTTAGACGGCGTACGGCCGGTACCCATTGCCGTATCAGCATCTATCTACGTGCCGAGGAGACCGAGGCGATTGGTCGAACGGGAAAGCAGCCCTTGTCGGGCTGTGGGCCCTTTCCCTTTTCACCCGGCCCTCCAACAATAGGTGCAGTCAGGGAGAGGTCATAAAAAACACAGTGAAAGCATCTCCACTCCTCCTCTCTCCCCTCTGCCCATTCTCTCCTCAGAGAAAAGACAGGCAGTAACTGTCTGTTTGTCACTGGGGGTAATTGTGGGAAGCCTGAGAAAAGTTGCCCTGCAGCACCTAGTCAAGCTTTGCTAACTCCTCTTGGTTCCTAATTATGATAGAAAAATTACACGAGTTAAAAAACAAACTAGTCTCTAACGATACATTTTGAGCTAGATACCAACTCTACCCCCTTTGTTTGAGTTCATTAGGACCCAGTAATGAAAAACAAGATTTAAGGGGTCTCCTTTGCTGTTCCCACAGACGCGAGGTTGTTCAAATAGACCAGCAGTTAAGTCGAGTCTTTTCACACCCAACCCAGACTAAATTAAATGGAAGATGCATGGAAATACGCCAGCTAGGAATGTGTGAGAGTTGCATCAATCTTTAAAAAGCATATTTTCAATTGAAAAACCAGTTGGCTTTAAATGTCAACTATAGCGAGAAAGAAAATAATACCACCGCCACATAAACCACAATGTAAGTCAACTACTCCAGTCAGCACAGTCCTTCCCACGAGGGCTATTTTCATCAAATAATCCAAATCAGAATGGTTGCTTAAAGGGATTTTTAAATGAATGTGACTACTAAAAACACTTTTATTCCTACAACACGTATAGCTATTGAAACAACAGTTGCAGATGTCCTCTGCACATGCAGACCTTTTCCCCTGGTTGCTGCAACAAGTGGGTCATAGTATCCTTCAATAGTATACGTCTCCGTCAAATCTGTATCTGTCAAACCAAACAGAATGATGTAGGGGGAGATGGGGGGGGGGGGGGGGCGCACACAGATGCAGCGTGATGGAGCGAACCAATAGCTTAAGATTGATGGGAGAATGCCGCTGCACACGCTCCACACTGAACTCAGTCCGTCTTCGTGGCATTCAAGCACACATTCCTGACATACCGTCTCTGCATCAAAATGCCAAACTCCAAAGTTAATGTGGGCTCTGCGTGCTGGCTCAGGGCCAGGTTTCAGTGGGGTTTTTTTTTTTTTGCTCTATGAAAACTTCCACAGCTTTGTTGACGGAGGGTTTAAATCCAAATTGTACGGTGCAACAAAAAAAAAAGGGGGGGGGGGGGGGTCAATGAAATGATTGATACGAGAACAAACAACAAAGTTCCAAAAAAAGGTGGTTAACAGAAGAACAAAAGGACCAGTAAATGTATCCTACTGAACATAACTTATGTATCCACATGGGCTAACATGCTATTGAGGATATTCGTTCATTACATTGAAGTGTATTTTACTCTCCTAAGCTTTCCCACTTGGAGCCACAGAGTCAATGTCAAAGGCTGGTTATTTTACAACTAGTTAGATTTCCCATACTCCTTTTAATGAATACCTTTGTTACTACATCAATACAACAGTATAAGTAAACATGGATGTCGTCGTGGCGCAGGGGGGTAGAGAGGGTGCGCTGAGAACCACAAGGTTGGTGGTTCTATGTTCCATGTCGAAAGTGTCCCTGAGCAAGACACCTAAACTCCAATTGCTCCCCGGGCAAAAATGTAAAAAAAAAAGCCATGGGTTAAAAATGTAATGCAAGTCGCTTTGGATAAAAGCGTCAGCTAAATGACATGTAATGTAATGATAATGGATGTCTATGGCACACAGGCTGCAGCTTCACACACAATACTTGGCAGGATAAATTCATGGTTAGTTGTAATTTGTTAAGGAAGTTTTCTTGATTCATAAACAAACATAAAGTGTCTTAAGTTTGAAAATTGCCCAAGCCAAGAAGTAGACGTGGACAATGACAAGGAGCCAGAGGGAGCAGAATGGAACAAGAGAGCGAAGGTAACTAAGGAGAAGAATAACGAAGTAAAAGGGGGAAACCCCCTCAGTTTGTGCCAATAAAAGAGTACCGCTGCTCTCTGGGAGATTAAATATGAACGGAACAAAACAAAACGAGGGCTTTGAGACCCTCCGAGTCCTAGCCATTCTTCTGGCCACAGTAGCCTAGCAACCGCTGCTTGACCAGTCCATTGTGCAAACGTATGTTAAGCTTTTATCCCTCATTAGCAACATTCCTCCCTGCAGGCCGGGATTTTACAGATTAGGTTGAAAAACACAAAAGAGATTGGACAAATCTTGCTGACTTCCAGCATATTACTTTACCGGCTAATCATTGATCAAATAGCTGCATGTTTGTCTGCGTGGAGCACGTGTACACGGAGAGTTGATAAATGGCAGTCTGAGGAGTAGAGTGAAGGTGGGAACGTTTGGTTGTGTACCTGTGTGTGCATTGGTCCGGGAAAAATACGGGAGTGAAATAAAATACCAAAACAGAAACATTGCAAAACACACGGACATTTTAATTAATAATTGAAAAAAAAAAAAAAGGGGGCAGATTGTAATCATATCGGTCTACCCCCCCGTGCGGATAATTCCCCCTCCTTTCATCCTCATGGACGGGCCAACGCCGCGACAAAGAGGCCGGCCCTCCCCAGCAGATGCAACAATTCCTGCTGGCTTCATTATTCTAGGTTTACGCTGGGAAAACAACCCATCACACCATGGGGGGGTGGGGGGGGGGGGTGTTTGTGTTTATGTGCCAGAGAATATTTTGTGAACTCAATGCACTGCCTCGAAGCAAAACACACACAGCTCCTTTCTTTCTCCCTCTATTTAGATAAGACAGTGTATTGACCACAGATGTACAGAATGGTGACTGTGGGACAAGCGACTACTAACACAACATATTACATGTAACACAAATATTCCCGTTTCACGGCTTTCACTGCAGCCTACAAATGCAATAAGCACGCTCCGGATGTTCTCTCGTAGTATTGGGTTACGTTCCCCACTCTTTACTTAAAGCTTATGCTGCCTCTATGTCACAGCGAAGTGGCAGGACAAACACACAGACTGGCGTTGGGGGGAGTTTGTTTGTGTATGTTCACCAAACATCCGATTATCTTAAACACTCGAGATGGCAGTGAAATCCTTTCTCTCCATCTGCCCCATTATTAACAGCTCCCATCTGAAATCCGTCTACTTTCCGGGTTGGGCTTGTCTACAGTGTTTAGTCCAGGCAGAATTGGGGCCACTACATGCGCAGAAAATGCACCGTTTCGAAGTTTGTTTTGGTTTGAAAAAAAGAAAAAACTAAATCCAGATCTCTGCAAAAATGGCTAATAAGTGATATAATCTCCAAGAGTGAATCCATGTTGTTATTCTGCAGGAATATTATCAAAATATACAGGCATCACACCAAAGGCGCTTCCTGCACGTTCTCAGGATGCTAAGTCTGATCACAAAGGAATAAATAGTGTTTAGAGTCCTATTACGCACATAAACACACCTGATTTGAGGTGAGCAGTCTGTGTGAGTGGGTATGTGACTTTCTCGTCTAGTCATGTCCATTCATTATTCAGTCCTAGGAAACTAAAGTTAGCCGGCCTGTTGTCAGGTACCGGCCCACAAAGGAACCAGCAGGTTCCAACTACGTGACCCTGTACTCAGACGCCTGCAAACACTGATATTTTCCAGACTGCAGCAACTTTGTGGAAGTATTCCTCTACATTGACTACAGTTCACTATGGAATTCCCCGATGAATAAACAAAACGTTCCTGCACATTAAAGCCGTGAGTGGAATGTTTCTTCTTCTTCTTACCCTGTGACCTCTGGCATTAGCTCTGGTTGGTCAAGAACATGGCCTGACCGTGTGCACTGTGTGACTGGTTATGTGTTTGGTAAATCACTGACTTTATTTGAACAACATTTCAGCTGGGAGGGCGGGGGGCTGGGAAAGTGTGTGTTTTAAAGGAGGAGGGGGGGCTGGGCAGCACAGCTGAGCAAACTCTTAATTTCACATCCTCTTGATGCTATCCCCCGCCACTTCATACACCCACAAAACATTTACACCACTTCTAAATCCATCCGGGGTAAAGGGCAGCACCGTGCATGTGTGAATTACCAGCAAACTGAATTCAGGACGCAATGACACAACACTGCATCCCGAACAACTTCAAAGTTGTCATCAATAACATAGAATAATTGCTGTGCAGGGGCACACGTTTGAAAGGGTTAGGTCCCCAAATTAACTGAATTGCCACCACCACAAATAACTAAAAAGGTGGATGTGCAACAGGTGGAGGTTCCCCTCGTGGTGAGGTCTTGCCCCTGAAGTTGGCTCACTTGTTTTTAATGGATATCACACACACACACACACACTTGGAACGTTTGCTTACTGTTGCTAGACTTGAGGTCGCGGTGGATGATGGGTACCACGGCCTCCTCGTGGAGGTACAGCATCCCGCGTGCTATCTGCACGGCCCAATTGACCAGGATGTGCGGGGGGATGCGCCTCCCGGTCAGCGCCCGGTTGAGCGTCCCGCCTCGGGCGTACTCCATGACCAGGCACAGGTTGGGCTCCTCCAGACACACTCCCTCCAGTCTGATGATGTTGGGGTGCTGCAGCATGGAGAAGAGCTTCGCCTCCTGCTTGACCCCGCCGGCGGTGGCGGTGATGTCCTCGTCCGGGTCTTGGCGAGCCGCCTTCACGGCCACCTCTTGATCTTTCCACGTGCCCCGATAAACTTTGCCAAATCCGCCCACGCCTATGATCTCCTCGAGCACCAGTTCACTGAAAGGGATCTGCGAAGGGGGGGTCGGGACTTGCTCTATCGCCCCCACCGACACACTCGTGGCGGGGAGACGGGTAAATAGCGGGCTGGTAGGTGACATAGTTGGAGGGGAAAATCCCCACCCGGTGGCTGATTTTACCGGTCCACCATCCCTCGTCCCCGGAGATTGTCGCGTCTTTGGACAGCACCTCCACACGTCCCTCGTCGCAGGCTGAGCTCGTCCTCGCCGCTCGCCTCGTAGTCGTACGCGGCTGTCCACAGCGATGAGTCGCGCACAGCGGCGCGGATGAGCGCACGCTCGGACCGCGGGGGGGTCCGTCCAGGCATGTTCCCCCGTCCCTCCGCCGCACGGCCACATTACGCCGTTAGTCAATACGGCTGGCAAGACATCCAATTTTCCATGACCGTGGTGGCACCATAGGGTGCAGAGGGGTGGGGGGGTGGGGACGGTGGCGTAAGGGATGGGGTGGGCTTTTTAGAAAACAAATGAAACACTGTAAAACGGTCAAATGGAACTTTTTTTGTTTTGAATCCTCATGTTGTCACACCGAAACGAGCCCCGCGGATGGGCATTCCGTGTCCAAAGTCCCGTGGGACAGCGAGAGAACGTCCCCGTCCCCCGAAACGTTATCCACGTCGCCACTCCGGGGGGAACCGTGGATGAGGGCGAATTACTCGCTAGCGTGGTTGCGGGCTACCGTTAGCCGAAAGACTGTATAGCTCATGTCAACACGAGTTTTAAAACGAATAATTCATATCTGTGTCAAATAGCCTCCGCCGGAAGAAGACAAACGGGTCCAGGACGTAGTCTGGGTGATGCTAATGAAAACTAGCTAAAAGTTAGCTCTCCGGCGATGGAGCTAAGTTTAGTTACCAAGTTTTCGCAGGTGCCGCAAGAGATGCACCTGCGCTGTCCCCTCCGACCGGGTAAAGTTAAGACTCCGAGGGAGAGGTTTCACTCAGGAAGACCCCAGTAGAGCTCATCTAGTCACCGAATACCGGCACGTAACGTTGACTTTCTCGTTTGTGGACTTTTAACGTGGAATTGTCAACGGCATTGGCTAGCGGGTTAGCTTAGCATAGGTCAGCTCAACGACCAGTAAGGCAGTTGGAAAAGTTGCTCCTCTTCAGCTTAAGATCGGTCGTTCCCAAGTGTGGCTCTCCTTCGCGGAGGAGACAAGAAAAGCCGACGTTTGGACACTCAAAAAAACATATAAAACATCCCGCATTGTAACGCAACATTGCGTGAATAAAAAAAATGAAAGAAAATCCGTCAACCTTTATCAAAACAATTCCCCCATCGCCACTTTCGCCAGTCGAAGTCGGACCCAGCAGCGGCTGTGGGAAGGAGCTGCGGGACGCCGCCGCTGCTCTCGCTGCCGGCTTGGATGCCCCCGGATTGGCGGATCGATGACACGTGACCACGGCAAAGGGGGAGGAGGGGAGGAGCTACTGTTGGAATGTGAGAGGACTGCGCGCCTTCGGAGAAATTAAGGCAATAGTAGAATATATAAACGCACACTCAAATCTCTCTGAATGCAAGTCATGGGAACATGAAAGAGGTTTTAATGGGAAAAGTATTTGGCATACTGCTGCTATTAAGGACAAGTATTAGTACGGCACACAAGGAATGTGACAACGGTGTCAAGTGGCTCTCGGTGTAGGCCTAGAGGAGACGCGCTGCTACAGACACACATTCTAATGCATCCATTACATAGGCCAATCACAATAGAATAATGGTAATAATAATAATGAAAAAGCCTATTTATGATCGGTTCTTCTCTTTAGGAATTTGATTGTATACATAAAACCTCCATGAATATTGTCTCCCTTAAGTCTGCATAGCAGCCCATGCAGCCCGCGTGCGCGTCCATAGGCGCGTGTGTTCATATCAACACAAAAATCCTGCACCATATGTCTTAAGTGTTCGGCGGATTGCCCCCCCAAAAATACGCCCGTTGTGCGTGCGCGCGGATAAACACCGAAGGTGCGAATCACATAATAGGAAAGGATAGCGAGGGGGGAGGGAGGCGGACGGGAGGCGCGGGGCTGGCAGAGGGGGGGGGGGGAGGCGTTCGGAGCTGCGCATCTGTGAGGAGAGGGCAGAGGGAGAGACACGAACAGGACAAGATGAGGACCGCGGCGGCAGCGATGGACGGATCGACGTTGGGACGGCAAAAGGCAGACGAGAGGACGGCAGCGCCGACGGAGACCAACACGGCATGAAAGACACGGCTCGGGAGACGTGCTGCATCGCCCCAACATGGAGGCGTAGCGACGGTAGCATGCATTAGAGGAGATCATCCCATTGTAGCCTAGCAGCAGCAGCAGCAGCAGCAGCAGCATCAGCATCACCGTCCAACCTGAGCGGAGAGGAGGAAACACAAGGGGAGATGGGCTCCCAGGTTGTGCAGACCCTGCGTCAGGGAGTGTGGGCATCTGTGACCGGCGGCTGGTACCACGACCCGGACCAGAACAAATTCAACAACTCCTGCCACCTCTATCTGTGGATATTTCTCCTGATGTTACCCCTGTCTCTCCATCTGGTGAGTTTGTACGAGGGAACGTGACGCCCGAGGCCGCGGAAAAGGGGGGTGGGGGTGTGAATTTTCTCACGGGAACCGTAGGTAGCGTTTAGATTTATTTATTTTTGGGGGTCTCCTTTCACGGACAAACGTGCGGTGCCTCTGTGAGTTTAGCATCCCTCGTGTGTCTGATTGCCGCTGAGGGAAACACCAGTGAGAACCACCCTGTCGCAGTACGTGTCCCCTCTGCGTGCAGTGAGGGACGCATGGCTGCTCCTGGATGAGGCGAGAGGCGGGAAACTACACGGGTTCACTGATATATACTTTCATGTCATGGCTTTTGGAAATTGCTGCAACACTCCCTGGAATATACTGCAAGGGATTATTACCCGACTGGAGGTTCCTCCATCTGGGATGTGTTGCGGACGTTAACCTTGTAGGATATGTGGAGATCAGTAGGTCTGGAGTAAGTAAAATATCAGGATATGGTGGTGTGAATGAAGGAAAGAGTTGCTGCGAAAGGTCAAACACCTTGACCTTAGCTGTGATCAAGTATAATGGTCACAGCAGGCACACTGAAAGGATGACTTAATGATCTGATGGCGTTTACTGTCTGAGTAGATTACTTCTATAGCAGTAGAAGATTTCTATGGAGCAGAAATGTACATTGCTGTCCACTCTTCTTCTCTCCCGTCTCAGCGCGATGAACCGTGGATAATTTGTAGGAGCTGTGGGTTCAGAGTGATAACCCTCGACTCAGTCCCTCATGAATTAGTGCATTGTTTCAGCTTTCTGGGAGGGAAGTTAAACATTTTATTAGCAATTTAATCCTCGCGTCCTCAATCTTCCTTTTGCTAATGGGCCATTTTCCTCCTTGGGCATCGTCATAAATCCATCAGTTAATCAAATTAGATCTCGTGGTTCCCCGAGTCTTTAACACACATCTGTGTGAGTGCGAATGAGCTTTTACATTTTGCAGAATTTCACCCACTTCTGAAAAGATGAGACGCGAAATCGCAGCGTGAAGCCGTCAATCCATCACCGTTTCAGAGGAGTCGGGACTCTGGAGAGCTCGTTTTGATGAAGCTCCTCTCCTCTCCACAGGCCCTGCCCCCTACCACCATGGCTTTGAGCATCTACTGCACTTCCATCACAGTCTTCTTCATCTTCATCAAGCTGGCCAACTATCGGCTGCACCTGATGTTCGACGAGGGCGAGGCGGTGGTCCGCAGCAGCGCCTCTGACCTCAGCAAGGCCCCGGAGAAGAAAAGTACCGCGTCGGATTCCTGCCTGCCCGCCGGCATCAGGTACACCCACAGAGACGCATGTGGTCCCGACGCTACATGCAGGGGGATCAATGTAAAAGGGGCTGTAAAGGACCTTTACGGATGAATTGGAGGCCACTCACAGAGACGTACAGCTTTGGAAGATTTAACAAACCGGAGCTTTGCTGTTTTGTGCCTCAAGTGGCTCTCTGTCAGGTTGGTCATTACAAATGCTAGGCCACAGGGCTAAACCAGTAATGATTCTAAATTATTTACGTGAAATTGTACATTTGGGCCTGAGTGCTCCTTTTAGAACGATTGTAAACAGGGAAACTGAGCGTTCTGTGTGTGCCTGTAAATGAGCTTTACCTTTAGCAGAGCTTCAACGATGCCTTTACCGTGAGATGAGAAGAGAAATCACAGCGTGAAGCATTCAATCAAACACTATTTTAGTGGAGTCAGGAGATGTGTGGAGATGTTGTTTTGAATACGATGGAGCTCGTTTCCTCTCCACAGGCCGTGGCCCTTTTAAAAAAAAGGCATAACAGATACCTCCCGTTTTTCCCTCTGCATGTGTCCATTTTTCTCAGTCGTCTCTCTTTTTGAAATCAGAGTGACTCAGAGTGCGATGTAGACTTTTTCCACTTGGTTTTAATGGCAGAGCTAATGAGGGGGGATCGTCAATCTTCAGTGGGCGGCTCCTCTCCAACACACTTGATCTGTACTAATAAACCAAAACCCATAACCTCCTGTTCCCCGTGAGAACGTAATTTGTTTCATTGCTGTGCCCGTCGAGAGAGGAATCTTCAAGTCCAGACAGGGGTACTTCTTACAGCTTCTTCCTCCCGATAAATCAGCGGATTTTAGTTCAAACACGAGAGGCGGGGAATGAAGTCAGACGATTCCTTCTGAGAGAGACATAATGATATATGGCGATCCATCTCACTCTAGCTCCCTGTCGTTTAATTCCTCCCCCGTCTCCGGCCTCTGTCCAATAGGAAGAGCAGCACAGTCCCAGACGGTGTTGCCATGACGATGTTGTCTCTGAAACGTACCAGTCCGGTGATCCAGGTGACAGTGAAACAGACTGAAACCGACCCGGGACTGATCGGGGTGGTGAGTGAACCGCTGGAACAATGATGCACTTTGTTGACCTACATTATCTCCTTTGGTCAATCACGTGTCCCTGAATTCTCTTTCACGCAGGACTGTTTGAAGTCGGACGAGGAGGGGAAGACCGTGGAAGGTATTTACTCCCAAATTATTACAGATGAGCTTCTTTTCTCCATTTGGTGGAAGTCTTGATGATATCATTATTTTTGTGACACAGTCTAACGTGCATTGGACTAATTTAAGCAAAATAACAATGTCCATGACGTACAGCGGGTGCTGGTATGCACAATTGATTATATGCTTGATACGACTTGACCTAATTTTATATCAACGGTGTTTGCAAGTCGGCTTGTTGCATTCAGATGAAATCAGGTGAATCTGCAAAATCATTGTTTACTGTCTGTTGAAACTCAGTCTGGGTTTGTTTGGCTAAATGTTTGCACGGGGT